GACTGGTCGCGGACCACGCCGCCGCCGGGCCACGAGGTGGGAGGCCGTGTGTTGGTAGGGGGCGGGGGTCGAACAGGGCGGGCGTGAAAGATCGAAACGACGAACTCGATCCAGTTTTCGTTTTCACGTTTTCGCTCGTCGTTTTCGACCGACTTTTCACCAAGTTCATAGCTCGCGCGGCGAGAGGGAAGGGGCGTGCGCGCGGGAGCCAATCCGGGGATATTTGGACGCGGGAGGAGACGATGCGCGAGAGCTTGAACTTCTTCGACACCTCCTGGTTTTGAGGTGCGCGAGAGGAGCACGTCTGTCCCAGTTGCACATTAAGGTTCAACATGTCGCAAAAAAACGCTTCCCCCGCGCGAGAAGCTTGGCCTTCCTCCCGGGAGTCCGACGTTTGCTAGGGGGGTGTCGCAGCGATCGGATGGCGCTCGTCCAATCCCTATGCCGTTGTCGGGCCACGAGTTCAGCGGCGCGAAGCGCAGGTTGCCGCTGTTCGCGCCGCCGCGGCCGTCGAAGGTGCGGTAGGTGCCCGCGCTGTGCCATGCCATGCGGATGAAGAACGGGCCGCAGTGGCCGTAGTCCGCGGGCCACCAGGGTTGCGACGTCGCGTCGGCGGCGGCCTTGTTCGTGTGGAACGGGCACTTGCCGGCCGGCGGCGGCGGCGGCATGGCGCGCAGCCGCTGCTTGATGTCGTGGACCTGGCCGCCGCTGCCCTTGCCGCCGCCCATGATGCTTCTGCTGTGTAAATCGAAGCCAAGGGCCTTCCTTTCCGCGCTCTCCTTCGACGGCTCTCTCGGCAAGGTGCACTGAAATATGTCTGCAACTTGGGCCCGTGGAGTTCTGCAATTGCGGCGGCCTGACCCGCAAGCGCACGAGCTGAACCACACGCACGAGTTCGCTGCAGGCCTGATCCCACACGCGAGCGCGCGCATCACTCGTTGCGAGCGCCCCACGGCCTCCACACAGCGGCGATGGCCGAGATCGTGTCCGTGGGCGTGCGCCGCGCCGCGCGCGACGACTCGTGCCTCTTCTCCGCCGTGCGGGCCGCCGTCGGCGACGACGACGACGAGCCGCGCCGGCGGCGCTGCTGCGCGCGCGCCGAGACGCCGGCGGACGCGCTCCGCCGCCGCTGCGCGGACTACGTGGGCGCGCGCCCGAAGCGCTTCGACGAGGCCGCGCTGGGCATGCCCAACGCCACATACCGGCGGTGGATCGCGCGCCGGAAGAACTGGGGCGGCGAGGTCGAGCTCGTCGCGCTCTCGGAGCTGCTCCGCGTCGACATCGCCGTCTGGTCGCCGTTCCGCAGCGACGAGGCGCTCGTCTACCGGTCGCCGGCGGCCACGCGGGGGCTCGTCCACCTGCTCTACAGCGGCACGCACTACGACGCGCTCGTCGGCCGGACGGCCGGCGGCGCGACCGTGTCCCTCTTCCCCGCGGGCGGCGACGCGGCCGCCGAGGCCCGCATCAAGGCGCACCTCGCGGGGGCCATCGCCCGGGCCGCCGCGGGGCGCGAGGGCGCGACGGCGCGGTAGTTAGCCATATGTGTGTGATCCTAGCGGATGCGGTAGTTAGCTACGTGTGGTTTTCATCTACCGGATGCGGCCGTCGTCCGTGCCGTCCGCGTGTACGCCCTGCCAGAGGTCCGCGTTCGCGCCCATGGCCTGCTTGAGCTCGTCCGTCGCCGCGTCGAGTTCCGCGACGAGCGCCGGCGGCAGGTCGAGGTTCGCGGCCTTGACGTTCGCCTCGAGCTGGTGGGCCTTCGTCGCGCCGGCGACGACGCACGCGGCGCCCTTGGCCAGAGGCCAGGCGACGGCGAGGTCCGCGAGGGCGATGCCCGACGCCTTCGCGATGGCGCGGAGCTTCTCGAGCGTCGCCGCCAGGAGAACCTCGTGGCCCGCCTCGCCGTGGCGCGACTTGTCGCGGGCGCCGGAGAAGTGGCGCGTCCGCGCGCGGTACGGGGGAATGTCCGCGATGGTCGGGAACGCGCCCGTCAACACGCCCTGCAACAGCGGCGAGC